GTATCACGTCAAAGGTGCTGTGTCGTGTGGATCATAACAAGTGTATTGTATACTCACGTGTTTCTCTGGAAGGGCGCGGGCTCGTCGGGCGGCGAAGCGGGCGCCGTGGCCACCTCGCGCACGCCATTCGTGTGCTGCCGACGCAACTCCAGCAGCGTGCTATAGAACAACCATTACAAATTACAACTAAAGGCCTATTCAGACCTAAGCGGTATTCGCTACCGTCTGCGGCAGAGAAAATCCAGTGGGTATGCGGTAATAATACTGTTCAGACCTAAGCGGTATTCGCTACCGTCTGCGGCAGAGGAAACCCAGTGGGTATGCGGTAATAATACTCTTCAGACCTAAGCGGTATTCGCTACCGGCTGCGGCAGAGAAAACGCTCTAGCCGCGGTACTTGATACTAAATACCTGAGCGAAACCCGCGCGGTATGTACCTCTACCCACAGCGGCAGCGAATATCGCTCAGGTTTGAAAAGGCCTTATTGCTGGTTTTCTATATTCAATCCTTATCCAAATCCGACCGTCAACTGTCAAATTTCAATATGTTTTTGGCCACAATATCTGCGGTTTTTGTTTTTACATTTTCATATTGTTTAAAATTTTTTTTTTATGCAAGACAAGGCAGGTATTAATTACTATTTTCACAATTTTCAAGTGTAAACGCATCGAAAATTGTGGATATTTAATCTAAAACTAAATTAAATTTGACAGTTGAAATCCGGATTTGGACAAGGATTGAATATGGGAAACAGGCGTAAAGGCCTGTTTTTTGTAGGTTTATGTTTTTAAATGTTCAATTTATGTTCTTAAAAGCTAAAACAGTGGCGGAGGATCCGAGGTGACTAGGATGACACCACTGTTAAGTCCTGTGACCCGCCAGCGGTGTCACTCGCCAGTGGCTCAGACTGGCGAGCGCCAAGAAAGGAGCGGGAAGATTCGATAAATCGCAGTCACAGTATAAAGTCCTGTGACTCGCCAGCGCGTAGAGGAGCTAGAATCATGTCCTAGTAGTTGCTAGTGTTATTAGTGAATGATGTTTGTAAGAGGCTATTGGTGAATGGTGAAGGACATTTTCAGTCACTATCACTAGGATGGCGCCACCGTAGTCGTCCCGTGACTCACCAGCGGCGTCACTCACCTGCGGGTGGGCGAGACGACGCGGGTGGAGGAGCTAGAATCATTTCCTAGTAGTTATTAGTGAATGATATTAGTAAGGGGCTATATTAGTGTATGGTGAAAGACATTTGCAGTCGCTAGGCTGACGCCACCGTGGTCGTCCTGTGACTCGCCAGTGGCGCCATGAACCTGTCGGTGGGCGAGATGGCGCGCTTGGAGGAGTTAGAATCATGTCCTAGTAGTTGCTAGTAGTTATTTGTGAATGATATTTGTAAGAGGCTATTGGTGAATGCTGAAGGACATTTGCAGTCACTATCACTAGGATGGCGCCGTAGTCATCCTGCGACTCGCGAGCGGCGTGGTGTCATCGTAGTGAAGGCCTGTGACCCGCCAGCGGCGCCACGCACCTGTCGGTGGGCGAGACGGCGCGCGTGGAGGAGCCGGAGGAGACGTGCGCGAGCAGCGCGTGCAGCGCGTGCGGCGGCACGGCCCAGGGGTTCAGGTTGTGGTCGCCGGCCGCGCGCAGGGCGCTCGCCGCGCGCTCCGAGTTCTCTCCAGCTGGACACGCTACAGTAGAGTGACCCGCCAGCGGCGCCACGCACCTGTCGGTGGGCGAGACGGCGCGCGTGGAGGAGCCGGAGGAGACGTGCGCGAGCAGCGCGTGCAGCGCGTGCGGCGGCACGGCCCAGGGGTTCAGGTTGTGGTCGCCGGCCGCGCGCAGGGCGCTCGCCGCGCGCTCCGAGTTCTCTTCCAGCTGGAGGATACAATTCTTAATTAAAGTCCGGTCACCGAGCAGAAAGAACTTCGTTCAATGACCCCAAGATACCCATCCTTACTGCTCGCGCGTAATAATTACATATATTGTGGCCGCAGTGAGTGTGCGAGCGTGACAGCAATATAATTACGCGCGAGCGAATAAGATGGGTAGCTTGGAGTCATTGGACGAAATTTTATCTGCTCATCTCCAAACAGACTCTGGATTGGAATCCCCAAACGCGAATATCAAGACCTAATGCGATGAGGGACTGTTGTGGATGCCCTCTGCCCCATCTAGGGGACATAGGACCTTAATGCCCGTTTTCACCATTAATCCCTAATTTTTAAGTGACCCCTATGAAAACAAAATTCCTGTATGTGTTACCATAGGGTTCACTTAAAATTTAGGGATTGATGGTGTAAACGGGCATAATGCTTACGCCACACAGATCTAGAGAGATGCTAACTAATGAGCTAAGTTCGAAACCCAGTTTCTCATTACATCACACACACAAGTAATCAAGGGCCCCGCCCCCTTTTCGCATCTCCCTGTTCTGTGATCTTTGGGTAGTTTCTGTGATCTGTGGGTAGTTTCTGTGATCTT